ACACTGTTACGTAATTTATGGACAATTGCATACACTGATTCCTAAAGATCCTTATAATTATTTAACTGTAACGAAAACGAATAAGCATATAATCCAGACTCCATCATGCTTATCTTGGAGTGATTGGCTGAACGCCTTCTACTTTAAAATATATACTGTATTATTAATTAAACAATTAAAAAATGATAATTTAACATTTGAGGATGTTAAATATTTTATTAAAATAAGTAAATTTTCATTTTAAAAACAGATTTGATATATTATAATAATATTAATAAAGTGTCTAAGATTTTACTTTCCTCGAATGATCTAGTTTTTATTTTAATGAAAGTGAAAATTTGAAATTTTTACAATAAAATTGAACATTAATACTGTATTTTTAATTTTTAAACGCTGAAAAATAATATAAGCATATTTTAATTTTAGAAAATGATAATATTAACAAATTAAGAAAAAAATAATAATATATTTTCGACTTAATTTGTTAATATTTAATTTGAAACGAAATTATTGGAAAATTTCTAAATACTTTTAATTATAAATTTTCATTTCCTAGGTAATTTGATGTTAACACATCAAAATTATAAATAAATAATAAAATAATTAAAATTCAATTTGATTAAACAATAATAGAAATAAATGTTCAAATTCGATTTAAATCATTTGTAAAACAGAACTAAATGACACAAATTTCTGATTTGATTTAATAATAAATTTTATTTTATTTTTTCATTTCATATAAATTAAATAATTTCGTTTTTGTTTTTGTAAATTCTCATTCAATTCAATAAACGTAATCAGCTTATTAAATTAATCTACATTCTTTTCCAGAATAAAAATAAATAAATCCACTTTTAATAAATTTAAATTCAAATTTGTTTAAACATTTTAACTGGATCATTTTCAAAAGCAATGAAATTTAAATATAAAATTAAATAAAAACATCACAAATTTTTGATAAATTCTTGTTTTACGAACTTCATAATTTTTGTATTACAAGTTTATAAAAGTTATTTAAATTTTACAATGATTTATGTAACCTTAATAAAAATAGACTATTAAATTACGTAATAAAATTATTCGGATTACATAATTTACAAATATTTTATCATATTTATTTAAAAAATAACTAGATTAAAATTTAATAAGGAATTATAATAAAAGAATACGATTATATAATTAATTTTTATGATTATCGTTTTATATTAAATATTCATTATACTAAAAATTTAACTGCGAATTAACAAGTATTGAAATCTAAATTTACAAGAATATTTTTTCTCCACTTTCATATTATATTCAACTGTTTCGGTTCCAGCTAAAAGTGTATGTAATTAGTCACAAACGTATAAACATAGACTCGGTTTGCACTCGTATATAAATTTAGAAGTTACACTTTTAAAATTGTTTAACTGACAAATTTTGTAATTTTACAGATAATTTATTTTATTAAACAAAGGAATTGGATGCTTTAAAAAATTCATCCCATTAAAAAATTTTTTTATTACAATTCTTAAAATTTTTAAATAATGTATAATAATGAATTTAGAAATTATTTTTGACTTCTATCCTGTATCTGATTGCAATTTCTAATTATATATATTGCATCATACAAAAATAAATTATATAAATATTTCAAAAAAGTAGACTATTATTATTTTTATTAATTAAGTACTGATTTTCTTGATGATAAATAAAAATTTAAAAGATAGTAACCATTAAAGATTTCAAAACTTGAAAAAATGTGACAATAGTAAATTGATTTAGTCTCTAGCCTAATTAATGAAAGCCGAATGGGCCTCTCGCAATTACGCTTTCATGATATAGATCTGATCCGAAATTGGATCAATTTGCATGGTTAAGGAATGGGAAAAGATAGCCGAGATAAAGCATGACATGTAATTCGAATCCACACAGGATTCGAACTACATTCATCGCGACAGTAGCCTAATATGACCGCGCAGAGGAAGACAGTATTTAAAATATTAAATATTCACTGAGATTAAAAAATATCTTGATTATAGTCGAGAAATGATATAATTTTTTTTTGTAAATAACGTAAATTTAAAAACTAAATACAATATGAAAGAAGATGAACAAACCATTTTTATGAAAGGGAGGAGTAAGAAGCGTCAGAAACGTAAATAGTTTTGGATATGAGCTTTAGTTTCAGTCGAAACGTAAAATGGATGCAGACAAGGAAGCGAAAAGTTTAATTGTGAATTATGTGGTATTGATTGTATTACTATTGGTACTATGGGTTCTTTATATGGGAGTGAGTATACTACCTTTCATTTCTACAGTCGGTTTTTTTTTTTTTATATTAGTATACCTAATATTGAGTTACAAATAAGATTGAGTTATTAATATTTAAGCTATAAATAAATTGAATAGCTTATTATTATCTTTTACACTGAATCCATTATTTGTAATTTTNTAAAACTGTGTGTGGCGCCATCTGTTGTGATATTTTATAAATTTAATTTTTTAAAAATATTTAAAAATATGAGGCCAGCTAATATTCACCCTACTTTAAACTCTTTTCCTCCCAAGACGTCTATGAGAATGACCCGGGAAATCCGACTCCAGCTGTTCTCAAGGTCATCTAGCTGTGTAAACAATGACTCATCAGTGTCAAATTTCACAGAAAGACAAGACAAAGGAAAATAAAATTTGAAGCTTTTTCTTCAAAATTAACGCATTTCTTTCGTTTTTTCAGTTTTAAATATTTTTTATGTTTAATTGTAATTAATTGAAAGTTGATCGGGAATGAAGGGGTTAACGACACAAAAACAGACGGAGAAAAACAGATTAAATGCAAACAAATATCGATAAATTTTATATAATCATTCAAATCACTCAAATGTAGTTTTGTGTTATCATGTTCTTTACAGCATTTGTTATCCTCATGTTCTTTACGGCATAAATGACAAATTAAAAATTTGTCATTTATGCTGTAAATGCATTACAACGGTTTTTTAAATATTATTATTCAAGAATGGAGTTAGTCTATGTTATATCTTGACTAAAACTAGATTATATGTGCTAGTTTCAAATTACACTCATTATGGGCTCTAGCTAGGTAGTATATAAGAGTAACTAAACAGGAAGTGGTCTTGGTCCGGTGGTCTTGGCTCGTCAGAAGACTGAATAGCTCGAAATTTCCGAAATATTAACTCCAAGTGAAATTCTTAAGGGCAAAAGGAACAGAATTCAGAGGAACCAGAATCATAGAACCGCATATCATGCAATGAGGATAGGAAACGGAGCTCTTATTTTCATTTTTGACTCTTTCTGCTTTTTGAGCATTAAGAGAACCTTTTTTCCACACTCATCGTGTAAAATTGTTCTAAACACACGAATTGTTCTATTTAAACTACAAGTATCCCTCATATAACACGGTGGTTACGTTCCGAAAAAGTTCCGAAAAATCCGTGCTATACGAAACAAAGGACTAGTGCAAAATATAGGGTTAGGTTCCAAAAGTTAACAAAAGTATAGTATTCTTTTTCGTTACTAAGAGAAATGTGTTTAATAAAGCAATCAATAATTTATTTCCAATCAATAATTAACTAATGATCACAATTAAAAGTATTGTCTTACGGGTTAATAGAGAGGTTGCGACCGGTGTTCTCATCGCGAAAACGTGTACGTCGGACTTTCAGCGCCGTCTTCCTGTAAGCCTAGAAGTTTGACAATGGCATTTGGAACGTCAGTGGAATAATGCTCGACGTTCCAAATGCCATTGTCAAACTTCTAGGCTTACAAGAAGGCGGCGCTGAACGTCCGACGTACACGTTTTCGCGATGAAAACGTGTACGTCGGCCGCATCATCTCTAATATTAATTTTAGTTAAACGAGGAAGTAGTTTTCGACATAGTTTTCTTTTTACAAAGTATCGTCATTTTCTAAGCTTTTTCGTTGATCTTGATCAGAAGTATCAGCAACATTTACGTATTTTTTATTTTTATCATAAAATGTTTTTTATAGATTAGAAAATAAAAAATATGTTATTAATCGAAAACTTGTTCTAGCGGGTCGCGTTTGTTTAGTCGCGTACCGAGTGATATTTTTTTTTCCTAGAATTTGATCGAATACCGAGATACTGCCGTAGTTTGTTCGTCATTTTACGAATGATTGCTTATCTACAGTTAAAAAAGTTTAATAGCACTCATCTAAAAATGTTTAAATAAACTTTACTAAATACGAAGATTAATCAATAAAAACAAAACACTGACAGTCTTAAGAGTCTGTCAGTGTTTTGTTTGAAAAAGTCTGAAAGCAACGACAACGATACCCGAATAATAGGAGAGCTAGCACAAGAAAGAAAAAAATTGTACTATGAGTTTTTATTAAGTAAACCTGACGCACAAAAGGCACAAAACAAATAAAAAGTTTCAATATTCTAAAATCCGTGGGCAAATTTCAGACGACACGTATGCTTATTTGAATAGAAAAATATCTAATAATGGAGTTTGCAGTTAAAAATTGTGGCATTTTGTACGGACGATTTCCCGAATTCTCGAACCGTGTTGTACGAGGGACGTACCCAATTTTCCAACCATGTTAGAGCGAAGACGTGTTGTAGAAGTGCTGTGTTATACGAGGGATACACGTATTTTAATGTAGCGAGTTCATTATAATGTGTTTATGTTTAATTAGTTCCATTATCATAATTGAAAAGCATATACTGTAATACCTTTCACCTCAAATAAAAATTGAGTATGATCCATTTCACCCCTATTTATTATATGAGTAGGAACAATTCTACTCTATATAAATTAATAATACTAACAAACTTTATAAGCATTTTAAATGAACTTGTATTGTCGATGACTCAAGCAGAAAGCTACAAAGAGATTTATTTCCAGATATTAGTATATAAAAGAAACAAAAAACACTAAGCATTAACATAATAAATTTAATGGGTAAAGAGAAGTTTATGGAATCACAAATCTCTGCTTTAAAAATCTTTGTTTAAATGATAAAAATATACTTACTGCTAATATTGACAAAAGTGATACCCCACATAATACTCCAAACCCATCCAATAACGACTGGAGCTGTTATGAGTTGTAATAGACCTGCCAACAAATTATATCCAAAAGCCTTCGCTCTGTTTGCATGTTCCGTTTTACATCCGCATAGGACGGTCACAGAGGCAATTAATGTTCCTGAAAAAATTGATATATTTCATAGTTAATTTGGCAAAAACTTGAGTTTTTTTTATCATATAGTGCAGAAATAAAATCATATATCAAATATAAACATCATTAACGCAAATAATTTTTATATTTTTATTATACGGTATTATTTCATTTCAAATTTTCATTTCAAGTAATTTCTATGATCGCGAAACTTTAATATTCTTTCTAATCATGTTTTTAGAAAAACTTGATTATTAGCCAAAGTTTTGGATTCCATTCGACGTTATTACAAACATTATTTTAAATATTCTACAGATATAAATGCCTATAAACATATACAAACATAGTTTAGTAACTTTAGTTGAAAATATTCTTCAATATTCTCAAAAGTGGTGACTGTAAAAGTATTTACAGTAATACCCCGACTTACGCTACCCCGACTTACGCTACCCCGACTTACGCTACCCCGACTTATGCAAACCCGGAGTTACGCGATTTTCAAATCTCGTCGATTCGTTTTTTGTTTCAGCGCCATGCAACTCTTGATTACTCACTCCACCCACACTATTGTTCGGCTTACATGTTCGGACGTGTCGCGCGGAATCAACATATAGCTACAATTTATTTTGTTATTTATTTCTGTGTTTGTTATATCTACGGAGACTTGAGAGACTCTACTATGTCATCTAAATGAAGTAGAATTGATTCTTCTGCATCAAACAAGAAAATAAAAACTTTATCTTTGGAATGTAAAGTTAACATTATTAAAGACTTCGATACAAAAATGAAAATTTGTGAATTGGCAAAGAAGTTTGATCTACCGGAATTGTCGGTCAGAACAATTATAAAAGGCAAAGAAAAAATTCTCGAAGCTGTGAAAAATGCTCAATCTTTAAATTCAAGCATCATTCGTAAACGTCACAGTATTATCGCTAAGATGGAAACAATGTTAAAATTATGGTGTGATAATCAAGTAATTGTGAAAAATTGTATAATAATATAATATGTTATACATATGTATTATCTAAGATTTTATTAAACATTAAATTATTGCTTTTTTTAGTCTCCGGCCCCAATTAAAAATTATTTGTATGTATTTATATGCAAAATTATACCCCGACTTACGCGGTTATCGCTCGGTCCCATCTATCGCATAAGTTCGGGGTATTACTGTATTTTCTTCTCTCTGTCTTATATAGTGTTTAATATTTTCTTATATAGAGACAAAATGCTATTATATTTACAAAAACTACATTTTTGTAAATATAAAATCGCTTTTAATTATAATTAAATTATTTATTTTGACTAAATTACAGAAAATATCTAACCAAATTCCTATCTAAGTTGAATAAGAATTATTATAAAAATTCAGTTTCAACCTACGTAAAAATTTTAAATTCGATTTTCAATATTCTTGAAAATTTTAATTTTATCTATTCTTTTATTCTACGAGATTGTAAATATAAAATTCTGTAAAATTTACATCTCCATTTTCCTATTTTTAAATATGTGATATAAAAATGTAATGCAGTAAAATCAAGTGAAGTTATAGACAACTTTAAGTCGTCTAAATACATATAAAGAAATAAACATCGAAAAATGTCACTAGTAGACAATGAGAATCAGAGTTTCATCTATGGCACGTGATCTGTAGTCTGTCAATCACACAAGTCTAGCATTGCACGCCAACAAACCGGAAGTGCCATCACTATTTCTCTCGCTTACAAGATTTAATCGAAGATTTCGAGTATTTACAGCACATTTTTATTTGAAAAATCGTCGTAATCTGCATATATTTTGAGATAAGTTATATATCTAACAAACACTTTCCTAATTACTTTGGTGTTTATAGACAAAAACGATTCGTATACAGGACGATAATAATGGTGGGCATCAGGTTCCGTTACAGGTGCGGTTTTATTTTGCTTTTTAAAATTTACTTTCTTACTTTTTTAATTAAGATTTTTACACTCCATAATTTTTTATCCCAAGAATCCTCCTCGCACATAGCCATCAACGCAATTAATTTTAAATTATTCTTCGTTTTATTAGCAGGGCTGTTCATAAATTGCGTAACGCGGATATGGATAGGTATGTAGATAATTGCAAGGAGTAGATGTTTACAAAAACGTTGCTTATGCTAGCCTAGTTATACCTAATCTCAGCCTTCGGGTAACGGAATGATTCGTTTTTGTTTCGGAAGAGTTGCTTCGCGAACTGTAATTTTTTTATGTCACTGCTTTGTTGTGCAATTATTTATTGTGACATCGTCACGATGTCAGGCTTCAATTTTTAATCATATTTTTAATAATTTTTAAATTTAAAATATATGCTCTCCATTTCAAATTTGTAGTGTCTTGCCCCTGTACAGTACATCATACTTTTCCGTCAGCAATAGGGTCGTGACGGTCATCTAACTCCATTTCAAGGGAAAATATTTGAATTAAAATACTGTAATGTAATTTCCAGTTTATACTGAAAGTTCATATATAGTTAATCGGGGCTTTCTACCCCTAATCTTTCCATATCTTATATTTAATTTAATCTATCTAACTCCGTTCTCGAGATTGAGGAGAGACAGACAGTGGAAATTTATAGGTCTACAATTTTTTTCAAATTGCAGCCTAATAAAATAACGATATGCCGTAAGATACTCCATTCGGTGTATTATTCCTTAGTATAGTTATGGAAGTCGATCTAGGATATGCATTAGGTAATTTCGAGGGTGAGTATGTGCAACGCGTCATGAAGCGTTACGGGAGGATTGGATGGTAGTTGAAAAGTATAAGAACACTGTTACGTAATTTATGGACAATTGCATACACTGATTCCTAAAGATCCTTATAATTATTTAACTGTAACGAAAACGAATAAGCATATAATCCAGACTCCATCATGCTTATCTTGGAGTGATTGGCTGAACGCCTTCTACTTTAAAATATATACTGTATTATTAATTAAACAATTAAAAAATGATAATTTAACATTTGAGGATGTTAAATATTTTATTAAAATAAGTAAATTTTCATTTTAAAAACAGATTTGATATATTATAATAATATTAATAAAGTGTCTAAGATTTTACTTTCCTCGAATGATCTAGTTTTTATTTTAATGAAAGTGAAAATTTGAAATTTTTACAATAAAATTGAACATTAATACTGTATTTTTAATTTTTAAACGCTGAAAAATAATATAAGCATATTTTAATTTTAGAAAATGATAATATTAACAAATTAAGAAAAAAATAATAATATATTTTCGACTTAATTTGTTAATATTTAATTTGAAACGAAATTATTGGAAAATTTCTAAATACTTTTAATTATAAATTTTCATTTCCTAGGTAATTTGATGTTAACACATCAAAATTATAAATAAATAATAAAATAATTAAAATTCAATTTGATTAAACAATAATAGAAATAAATGTTCAAATTCGATTTAAATCATTTGTAAAACAGAACTAAATGACACAAATTTCTGATTTGATTTAATAATAAATTTTATTTTTTTTTTCATTTCATATAAATTAAATAATTTCGTTTTTGTTTTTGTAAATTCTCATTCAATTCAATAAACGTAATCAGCTTATTAAATTAATCTACATTCTTTTCCAGAATAAAAATAAATAAATCCACTTTTAATAAATTTAAATTCAAATTTGTTTAAACATTTTAACTGGATCATTTTCAAAAGCAATGAAATTTAAATATAAAATTAAATAAAAACATCACAAATTTTTGATAAATTCTTGTTTTACGAACTTCATAATTTTTGTATTACAAGTTTATAAAAGTTATTTAAATTTTACAATGATTTATGTAACCTTAATAAAAATAGACTATTAAATTACGTAATAAAATTATTCGGATTACATAATTTACAAATATTTTATCATATTTATTTAAAAAATAACTAGATTAAAATTTAATAAGGAATTATAATAAAAGAATACGATTATATAATTAATTTTTATGATTATCGTTTTATATTAAATATTCATTATACTAAAAATTTAACTGCGAATTAACAAGTATTGAAATCTAAATTTACAAGAATATTTTTTCTCCACTTTCATATTATATTCAACTGTTTCGGTTCCAGCTAAAAGTGTATGTAATTAGTCACAAACGTATAAACATAGACTCGGTTTGCACTCGTATATAAATTTAGAAGTTACACTTTTAAAATTGTTTAACTGACAAATTTTGTAATTTTACAGATAATTTATTTTATTAAACAAAGGAATTGGATGCTTTAAAAAATTCATCCCATTAAAAAATTTTTTTATTACAATTCTTAAAATTTTTAAATAATGTATAATAATGAATTTAGAAATTATTTTTGACTTCTATCCTGTATCTGATTGCAATTTCTAATTATATATATTGCATCATACAAAAATAAATTATATAAATATTTCAAAAAAGTAGACTATTATTATTTTTATTAATTAAGTACTGATTTTCTTGATGATAAATAAAAATTTAAAAGATAGTAACCATTAAAGATTTCAAAACTTGAAAAAATGTGACAATAGTAAATTGATCTAATCTCTAGCCTAATTAATGAAAGCCGAATGGGCCTCTCGCAATTACGCTTTCATGATATAGATCTGATCCGAAATTGGATCAATTTGCATGGTTAAGGAATGGGAAAAGATAGCCGAGATAAAGCATGACATGTAATTCGAATCCACACAGGATTCGAACTACATTCATCGCGACAGTAGCCTAATATGACGGCGCAGAGGAAGACAGTATTTAAAATATTAAATATTCACTGAGATTAAAAAATATCTTGATTATAGTCGAGAAATGATATAATTTTTTTTGTAAATAACGTAAATTTAAAAACTAAATACAATAAAATAAAACCTTTAGCTTAGAAATAAATTTGACACAATCTAGATTACTTTTGTTTCCTAATAAAATAATATTATAAATATTACTTTTTATTAATTTTTACATTAAGCACTTTTATATTTAGTTTGTATTACTAAATGTTTTTCATAAAAGTTTGTC